AAAAAAAAAAAACTGCAAAAGAAAGCAAAAACCTCCACAGTCTGTGCCAGTCTGACCGTGGGGGAAATTTCCTTCCTGACCCCAAATATGGCAATTAGTCTGACCCTGTGTGGAGGGACAAGACCCTGTAGCCAGGAACCTCCAGTTCAAGTCCCAGCAGGAGCACTGGTGCATCCCAGTCAAAATCCCCAGCCTTGGCTGTGGCCAGCACCCAGTGCTTCTGAGGAAGGTGAAGCCCTCTTTCCTCCTCTCTCTCCCTGATGCATGTAGGAATGTAACCCAAAAATTGAACTGATGACAAGAGTTGGTTTCTTTTCAGCGGGGTAGTTTATTGCAAAGGGTACTGGGGAGTTGTACACTTATGAGAGACCATTTAACTTATTAAAAATTGCACTACCCTACCTGCACACGCTCACACATGCATATACCCATACTCTCTCACAGATGACACACTTATATAATCCCAAGGGTGTTGCAGATAGGATGGCCCTATCCATTGATGGAGCGGGGTGTCCGACCTGGCATGTACAGGCGCAGGCTCTGGTGGCGAGGCATTCCCACATCATCTTTTCTCTTGCCCCCTTTTTATACAGTTTGTTTCTGGGCAAGGTTTCTCAAACCGTCTCCCCAAGGCATGCACTGTTTCGTCGTCACATAGAAAGGTTCCCCTTATCTAGCCAGCCCGAACCAGTCTTCCTGCCAAGGATGTTACACGGACCTCTGGCCTTCAGCGGCCTGCTTCTGGTTGCTGACACCATAACTTTTCCTTTGTCTCTTCCGTCGTCTTCGTGCCATCTGCTGCTGCTTTATTAGTCATATACACCACACTCATACACTCTATTGTTTACTTGACCTATTAATGATACATTGTCTGACTTACTGGCTACAGGAATAGGAGGAAAAAATTCCTTCCTATCCCTATGTGGCAATTGGCAAAGCCCAAAAGCATGGGGACATACCTATTGTAGAGCATAGGCATAGCTACTCCTACATCATCCCTGATCCATGTTTGTCCAACCTCTTCTTGAACACCCTCCAGTGATGGAGATCCCACAACTTCCTTAGACTATTTAGTCCACTGCCTTGCTGTTTAACAGTGAAGAAGATATCCAGTTTCAACCTACTTTGCTGCAACATCAAGCCATCCTTTTGCATCCTCCTTTCTGCAGCAAAAGAGGAAAGGTGCTTTCCTCCTTTATGGCAGCCCTTCAGATGTTTCAGGATTGCTATGTCTGCTTGTAAGCTGAACATGCCTGTTTCTTTCAATCCCTCCTCATGTGATTTGCCTTCCAAGCCCATTATTTTTGTTGCCCCTCTCTGTTACTTCTCCACATCCTTTTTCCTATGTGGAACAATGCACACAGTTCTCTGGATGAGGCCACACCAGTGCCAAGTAGAGAAGCCCTGTCACCTCCCATGTCTTGCACTTAATGCTTCTGTTGCGATGCAGCCCAAAACTGCTTTCCTTTTGTGCAGCAACATCACACTGCAGACTCATTGGGGATGTGATCCACTAGGACTCCTAGATCCTTCTGAGTAGTGCTGCCATCCAGCCAGGTGTCGCCCATTTTGTATTGGATTATTGTTCCCAGTGTGTTGCACCTTGCATTTGTTAGCACTGAATGTCATCCTGTGAGCTCCAGCCCAGCTTTCCAATCTGCCGAGATCCTTCTGAGTTGCACTCCTGTCCTCTGGTGTGCTCAGCCTTTCCCAGTTTCACATCTGCAAAGTTGCTCAAGAAGCTCTCTGTTCTAGCATCTGAATCATTAATGATGATTGTTGCATATAAATAAATTGTACCACTGTTGCTATGCCAACATAACTCCACGACACCTGTCTTTTGAGATGTAAAAGGCCAGTATCTTTTTTTGGAAGTGGTTTTAGCTAAAGTGAGGAGGGCATGGGGAAGCCCCCTTATGAAATAACATAATTGGTCTTGGGAAAACTACCATGGCTATACTGGTACGCTTCCATGAGTGGCATGGCCCTAGTTTAGGGAAAGCTCTGGCAAACTTCTATAGTCTCAGAAGAGTAGGGCTGGACGGGCTCTCAGGAGGTCATCTTGGCAATCTCCCGGCTCAAAGTAGGAGCATCCCTGTCTAAACCATCCTAAACAAGTGTTCGTCAGCCTACTCCTGATCTTCCAAGGAGGAAACCAAGTAAATGGTGATTTTTGGTTTTTGGGCCACAAGAAGAAGTCACTTGATAAAATTCGGATGCTTGTCTGTGCAGTCAGTATATCATCCCTATCGGTGTATCCTTGGCCAATTTTACTTGAATTCCTTTATTCTTTTCAGGGAAAGGTTGCAGAAGTTGGTATCGGCACACACTTCAAGTGTCCATCCAGTCCAGTTAGCTTTGGTTTTCTCTACAATAGCATTTTATAATGTCTCGCATGTGATAGCAGTTGAGCTGCTCTTCCTTCTTGCAGGCTTCACTAGTTAATCACTGATGAGTTGGGTGTGGCTTGAGGGGAGGATAGTGTTGAGGATCTCATTCCATGTGGTACAACCAGACATGAGCTTCCGAGACTTGAATCCCTGCCAAGGAGAGATTCTGTCGGTATAGCCACGGCTACTTCAATTACCTTATTACTTCAAGGATGTTTTCTTCAGCTCATTTGCTGTGTCTGGAAGGTGCCACGTGGTATTAGGAGTAGGCCAGAGTGCACCAAATGTGTTAGTTCCAGTCTTCAGTACTGTTCCAACTCCATGCAAGGGAACTATGTATAGCCCAAAGTGGGAAATGTATTCGTACCCACCCCACTTCTAATCCAGCCCAGTGCCAGGGAGCTGACCTAGCAAGTCCATGTTTCAGACCTCATGTTACTGTCCTAGTGGGCATCCCAAATAGGGATGACTCCACTTCTGCTGTCGTCAGTGATTAAAAATTCCCATTAATTTTAATGGGAGCAGAGTCAGAATGTTAAGCGTTGTCAAATCCTGGAAAATCTTCAGATTTTGGTTCATTTATTGATTTGGGCCTGTAGAACGTATGACTGCACATAATGATACTATTTTGTCCTGCAAACTAAGACAGACCTCTAAGGTACGCACTTTTCATGAAACTACATGTTCAAAATAAAATTATGCTACAACTTCAACCTGTTACTTAAGTATTATCACCCTGGTGCTTGTTAGTATTCTCCACACCCAAGAATTTGGGGTTCGGAGCTGTTCTCAGGGGGGATTGTGCATCTTGCAGGTTCTGGTCCTGCTAGAAGGAAATCCTTTTAATGAGGATGGTTGCAACAAAGCTTCATACATTTTGGGAGCCATACCAACACCCACAAGCCGAGGGAACATACTAAAGAGGGTGGTACTGTTTGCTGACACAAGTGAACTTGTTGGTATCTGGTGCATTTTTCTTAATTTCCCATTTATTTTCCAGGGTAAGGTGGCTCAGACTGCATGTATGTCGGCCTGCAAACACTTATCCACTTCGCTGATGCAGCTGCTGCTGGAAGTTGAAGTGAGGCAGCTGACACTGGGGGCCTTGCAGCAGTTCAACCTGGATGTGGAAGAGTGTGAACGTAAGGGACAAAATCATTCCATTCCTCATGTTTCACCTTGGGTAGTTGTGCGAGCATTGGGAACAGCTATGCGGGCAGCAGGTTGATTGCAAACACTTACTGAACAAAAGCCAAATGACTTCTCCTTTAAAGTTTTACTCTTTTGTTACTGTTTTATTGTGTATTTGTGTAGTCCAAATACAGCAGAAGATGGTCCCTATCCCTTGAGAGCATGTGTTCCACAATAGGACCAAGTGGAGAGAGTATAACGCAGAATTAAAACAAGAGGCTTGATAGGCTTGCACTGAAAATGTATTACTGGGACACCTTCTGTAGTAGGGTTCCCCATATCCCAGGCATGTCTACTGGTGTAACCTGTACAATCTGAATTTAATTTCTGTAATCGTATCTCTCCGGTTCTTCTCTCTAGTCAAAAGCAGTATCAACAATGACATTCGTTAGGCAGGGCGCGTAATTCTCTGAAGGACAAGTGGTGGAAATCCTGTCAGATGGGCTATTTAAAGCAGGACTAGGCAAAAATCTAGAGATTATATTTAGGGAATAATCCTGCAGCAGTCAAAAGATGGACTGGTTTTCTAATAGGTCTGTTTTTATTTTTAGCCCAGAAGTCCAAGAAACTTCCATTTGAAATTGCTGAATGGCACCACAGTTGGTGATACCGAGCACACATCTCTTATTTATCGTGTTAGCCACACATTTTATTTTCCTGCAGTGAACGGCTATGATGCTTTTCTTAATTATTCTTCACAATTAATTGGTTACCCAATGGGGAGGCAGTAGGATAAAGCATAAACCAGCGGTTCCCAAACTTTTTTCTTATTGCGTATCCCCTTCCAGATTTACCAGCTGTCCATGTACCCTTACCAGCACATTTTATATTTTAACCCCTTAATAATTGGATTATTATAATTATTATTATGAAAATTAAATCTTCCATTACACAACTTCTCCAGTGTACACCCTCGAGATGTCTTGCATACCCCCAAGGGTACGCGTACCACAGTTTGGGAACCCCTGGCATAGACCACACTGTTAGTTCATAACATAATAACATGTGTGCCCTCTAAAGAGCCTGGTCTTTTGCATTTCTACCTTTAAAATGTGGCAGTAAACTTTTCATTGGATTAACAGACGGATTAATCATTGGGTTCCACTGATTTGGGGAGATGATTTGCTCAGTGAATAGTTTTTAAAAATTTCCTGCTGCCAGTCCCAGAACCTCACCTGGGTTGTGATGCCCAATACAGGTTCTTTCCATCTCATGCATCATTTCCAGTTATGGACATATACAGCCACATTACATGTTATCTTGGTATATGGAGGGCTTGATAGGTATGTCCAGATTTGATGGAGCTATTTTTATTTCATTTATTACAGAACCCAAATGTTATGTGCATACTTGGTGAGCATGTTGCTAAGTGACAAAGCTGTTTGCATGTCATTTACAAAAAAAAAAAAGAGCATTCTGCATTTCAGACTAATTTTCTCTAAAATTTCACCATATAAAATCAAGCCGTTGTTCCCTTGTTATATCCTGACCCATTTCTACAGTAAATATTGAGCTGCATGACGATGAAACTTCCTCTGCATGGGCTGATACGCATTTAAAAAAATAGTTTCAGAAAAACAATATAGGAGACAGTTTCAGGAAAACAAGTTATTGTAGCGTTCTGAAAATGCCCACCTCTGCTTTTCTGATTGGAGTGTGGTGGGGCAGGAAACTGTATCCCAGTCTTATTAGACCGGGACACTGTCAACCCAGTACTGCTCCCCTTCAACTCCGTGGCAAAATTGTCACCGACTTGAGTCGAGCAGTATCAGGCCCTGAAACCATGTGCTGCATTTCACATTGAGTATAATCTAGCTTTATAACGTGTTTTTAATTGTCACTGCTCTTAATATCCAGTTAGCATCGGTCATCCACTTGATGCTGGCAAAATGTGTTCCTGTTGAGTGCCAGGTGTAACTAATGCTGTTTCAATTAAGCAGCAACCTTTGACATTTCCTATCCAAAGGTTAGATCAGTTCTCGGGAAGGTCACCTGATTAAATTTCTCCTTTAGTAGGACCCAGCCCTTCTATACTTTCCCTAATTTTCAAAGTTCTTGAACTCTCTGGGAGTAGGGTCTGAGTGGGCAGTGTGAACCGCACCGGAGCGGCGCGATAACGTCACGTGCGGTAAGCTAGGTCGCATCTTATTTCGGTGTTAAAAAAAAAAAAAAAAA